TAGTGGAGTAAAACAAATGACCGGGAAATAAAAATTCTAAAATTTGTTGATGATCAACGTCTTTTCACATTTCTTTCCAGTTAACATGTAATAATTTGTACTAGTTCTGATATTTTTCAATGTGAAAAATTACCTCAAGATATTTTCATCTACCTCTGAAGGCGAAACGAATGCCGCGAACCAAGTGTCGAGAAATATCAACGGTAACACAAGACGAATGATTCATGTTTTCTCCTACAAGCTTAACACTAGTAAAAGAGACGGCAAGTGTCAGCATCTTGCCGTTTGACAGTGGTCGTACAGTGGCAATCTTTCCTTCAGTTGCTCGTTGTATCAGTTTCGGAATTCAACCCTGAGGAAAGATTGAAATGGATCCATAATAAGACAAACAGTGACCACAGCTCATTTTTTCTTCTCATTGAGCGTGAACTTGAATCATCACTGTGTACACAGATCGTTAAGTGGCATCCATTATTGTAATGAACTTCCTTTTTAGAATACTCAGTTCTCCATAGTCAAGTCACAACTGTTGATCTTGATTCCAAACTAAGCATTCAACTGACTTGTCTTTCTGAAGCAACTCTATCACTACGTCCACAAGTAGGTCTAATTACTACTACTACTACTACTACTACTACTACTACTACTACTACTACTACTACTACTACTTTTACTACTACTACTACTACTACTACTACTACTACTACTACTACTACTACTACTACTACTACTACTACTACTACTACTACTACTACTACTACTATTACTACTGCTACTACTACTACTACTACCACCTGGGGTTTCTCTCGACGGTGGGAGAAGTCATCGCACTTCATTGGGCAGCTGTCGCCCACCTAAGTTGGGCAGCCCCCAGCCCAAGGGATGCTGCCCGTCGACGTTCCGCTTGATCCATTGGGTGCAAGGGGCTAACGACTGAATCCGAAAAGCCGATAGAAAACAAAGTACCAGTTAAGACAAGGTGGAATGGTTGAAACAATCAGGTCTGACGTGACAGACGAGAAGAAATTCCTTCACGGGTTCTCCGGTCACTTTTCCGTGCTGGGTTAACGCCCCAGTACCTTGTGAGTGAGACCTTTGATTCAAGGGCTCCGGTAGGTTTCCCAAAGAAAAAATCCCTTCTGTGGTGTGGGCCTCCGCGAAGTATGATTCGCCGAGAAACGTCGAGCATCTTTCCTGCAAAAGAACCTTATCAATTTTCCCTCTTATAATTTGACATCGAAACAAACTCCACTGGTAATTGGGGCTGTGATGAGGGCAGTAGTTCAGGAGTAGGGTATAAGTCGAATGTATTCCCTAAGCCTAAATGGTCACTTCATTCGGTTGCCTTTCACGTCTGCACACTGTCGGATGGGACAGCAGGCTGCCCTCGCTAAGACTCTTGACATTTTAAAATATTCATGAGAGCAGAGAGAAGAAATAAGTCGCGAGAAGCAAGCATTTCGTTCACTATTGTCAACCGCCGATGTAAAACGTGTCAGTATATATATATATATATATATATATATATATATATATATATATATATATATATATATATATATATATATATATATATATATATATATATATATATATATATATATATATATATATATATATATATATATATATATATATATATATATATATATATATATGGTACAGTAGGGGGGTAAGTGCAACAGTAAAATAGGCACGATCGAAAGCTCTTACAGTACGTACTTTGGGGAGAGTGATGTCTGTCGTGTTAACGCCAGGGTAAACAAACATTTTGGGTCAATCGTTTTTGTGCACAGAGTGCTGGCTGATGCATCATGATTAGAATAGCGTCACTGAACGCTAATAGTTTCGATGTTGGATTGCCCAACAATGCTTTGAAACACTAGGTCAGGTCAACTTTGTGATCTGATGCAAACAAGTGTCTCGCAATCGAACAAGCTGGCGGTTTCACGTCATTGTGTATTACCCCAGTAGGTTGCTTCATCAAGCTTAACAGCCACTCGGGTATGTGTTCTGACACTCGTTGAGTCAAGCAACGATCCATCCTGCCAATGTATACGTCACCGCAACTGCAAGTGAATTGATAGACAATATGTGAGACGCTGGGATCAGCAAGACTATTTGAGTGATTTTGAAAACATAACCTTTTGGTTGTCTGTAGCAAACGCAACTGCGCCGCTGTGTATGTGTGCCTCAGAGCTGACTTAAGATTACAATTTATTTGATTGAATAAATGATCTCCTTTAAAAGGGAAAGTGATAAAAACGTGCTTCTTCTCCATGTTCATTGTTTTCTCGCGCATACGTCTCGGCTTCTGATGTTGTCTGATAAAGTTTTCCGGATAATCTTTGGTCAGTAGCGTTCTTTTTATGAATTCCTCTTCCTTTCGTATTTGATCTTCTGGGCTCTGTTGAAGAGAGTTCTGACCAATCCACGTTTGTAAGCCACTAGAGCCAAGCTGGAGAATTGTAAATAACGTCCACCCCAGGTTGCTTTTCGGTGGATTCTGCGCCGTAGAGTTCCGTCCTGAAGCCTGATTATTAGAATATCTAGAAAGAACAAACTGTTATCGCGATAACAGTTTGTCCTTCACACGGTTAAACTCAGGTTGACCATATTGTCACTGGTCACCACTGGCGTGGATCAACTGAAAATTGTCGTTCATTTTGGTCTACGCCTGTGGATTCAGATCACGCCTAGGTACGTGGTCATTTCTGTTTACTTCTCGTCCGTGGTCGCACCAACGTAAGTTCCACTCGTCCTGTGCAGTTGCTTCTGGACGATAACCAGCTATGTGATTTCCAGACGGAGCTATGTATATGATTATCTATGTGACTGGATGTGCATGGCCCAGATGAATGTTGGCAACAGTTCAAGGAAGCCCTGTATGTCAAATCTAATACTATCCAGAACTCTGGTTCAAGTATGCCTTACAAACGATGGATATCTTCGACATCAGTTGTTCTGTTAGATGCTCGTAGATCCATCCGTTCCGATGCCACATTCAATGAAGTGCGTAAATCCCTGAGATGCCATCTGACTAGGAGGCTGAGAAATGACCGTGAACAGTGGTGGATTGCGAAACGTAGGGAAATGGAAAAGGCTGTGTCCATTGGCAATACTCGCAACCTTTTTCGTTTGATTAGAGGCACCGGTCCACGGAAGCCCGGTGTACGTGAGCTAACCAAGGAATCCGATGGGTCACTCTTTCTCATGGAAGTCATCTGGATCATTAGGCGGAGCGCTTCAATGAACAGTTCATTCGGCCTGCTTCTACTGAGGACTTTCTTAATATGCCCACGAGAGAAATGGTGCAGATAGACATCACTCTCCTGTCAGAGATGGGGATTATGCGAGAGATAGCTTACCTGAAAAGGTACAAAGCCAATGGACCAGAAGGAGCGTCTCCATCTTTTACAAGGATGGAGGCGAAGCTTTGGTTTCGGAGTTTACTAAACTCCGTATTATTTGGGATAGTGAGCGGACTCCCAGGGAAAGGTATGAGTTGGTGATTGTATCGACTGACAAGAAAGGTGACAGATCGTCTTGTGAAAATCACACAGGAATTAGCCCGGTGTGTATCGTGTCCAAACTGCTCACGTGCCTAATTCTCCACCGTTTATCTAGCCCCCGTGAAAGGTGTACGCGTGAGAATCAAGCCGGTTTCAGACATGGTAGGGGTTGTATCGACCCCGTCTTCACTCTTCGGCGAACCATAGGCCCACAATTTGTCTTTTTTGATCTCGAAGCGGCGTTCAAACCAGTCGACGGCACAGTTTCTGGCGTTGCATTTCACTGATGGACATGCCAGGGGAATTTACTTCTCTTTTCCAGTGCTTGTATGGAGACATCCGAAGCTGATGTTCGTGCTTACGGCGGTCTTTCACCCGACTTCACCACGGAAAGTGATGTTCGTCAGTGTTGCCCTCTTTTGCCGTTTATCTTAAATTTTGTATTTGAATTGATTCTTGATATAACGCTATCCTTGCGTGAGAATAGTGACATCGATCTTTGCTGAGGCAGTAAACTGTTTGACTTGGAATCCGCGGATGATATTGTTCTCCTAAGTGAAGATCCAGGTAAGTTGCAAGCTCTCTTAGATAGCCTAAACAAGAATTTAGTAATGTTCGGGATGCGTTTTGCACCTTCAAATTGTAAAATGCAGTTGCAAGACTGGGTTGGCTTAACACTAAACCTTTTATTGGCAGAGGAAACTCTAGCCGAAGTTGATAAGTTTTGTTACCTGGGCATTTACATCTCACCAGATGGACACTTATCGGATGAAGTGTCATGACGTACACAGAAGGTGTGTTCGTTTTTGCCAACCTTCGTCATCTGTGGAGTGGGCGTGACATCCGATTGTCAGTCAATGGCCGAGTGTACAATGCGGCTGTAAGGTCCGTTCTTTTATACAGTTCAGAAACACGGTCGTTGAGGGTATAGGATAAACGAGGACTGTGGGTGTTTAAGCACAGCTGTCTCCGTAGCACAATCCGAATATGGTGGGAACACCTTATCAGCAATGCTGGGGTTAGACGTGAGGTGTTGGAAATCATAGGTCAGTTTCTGGATCAAGTACTGAATCTAACCAGATTAAGGTATTTGGGACATGTGTTACGCATGCCCACTGATAGACTTCCTCGGTGTATGCTGTTCTCTGAGTCAAGTAGTAGTCGGGAAGTAGGTCGAGGTGGTCAGCCCACGACATGGCAAAAAAGACTTGAAACTCTTGACCAGTGGACTTCGCCGAGTAGGACGTGTTAGACTTCCAGGTTGGGGTCCACGTGATCCGCTTAATAAATGGTTGGAAACCCTACGTGATTTGGCTAGGTGCCGCGGCCAATTTCCTAACTGCTTTCGGACTCGTTCTTTTTCTCTTGATTTTCATTTATTATTTTGATTTTCTTTGGCTCTTTTTTATTTTATGCTTTCATTCTTTTTGCCATTTACTGGAAGACGCTGGAAGGTAGCAACCGAAATCAGCGCACAGAATTGCGAGGTTAATGGTTGTATAAACTGAAACTGACTACTACTACTACTACTACTACTACTACTACTACTACTACTACTACTACTACTACTACTACTACTACTACTACTACTACTACTACTACTACTACTACTACTACTACTACTACTACTACTACTACTACTACTACTACTACTACTACTACTACTACTACTACTACTACTACTACTACTACTACTACTACTAATACTGCTACTACTACTACTACTACTACTACTACTACTACTACTACTACTAATACTGCTACTACTACTGCTGCTACTATAAAGGCTACGAATTCATCGGGGAAAATAATGCTCCATTGTGAATGACAATATTTCTAAGTGATTATCCCAGCTGTATTTGTCATAATAGTACTAGTATTGATTATTATTTATTAGTTGTCATTGTTATTAGTTTTATTATTGTGGCTGCTGTAGGACCGTAGTAAAAATGTTCCATTTATCGATTGAAATTCTTTGTTGAAGCACTCAAAGATAGTGGTATTCTCTCCTTCCTTGACAATAAACTTCGTTTTACTGATCATTTTCTGAACACTCTATAGTCGAAGTTGGATATCATTTGTTCTGCTAGCTTTTTGTGTTTTCGTTACTGATGGCTGCCGCTGAGCCTGCACTTTATCTCGACTTCGCTGTTTGAATTTGTGTAAGGCTTGGACGGAGGGTAATTAGCCAGTGGGCATTTTTGTATCATTTATTTATACACACGCATGATAGCGAAACATACCAAATAGCTATAGCGTGGACGAATCATTGATGATCACTTTATTGGTGGTTTACTTTTCGGGTTGTTCTCATTCCAAGATTTGCTGTAGTACGAGTGGTCTCTGTCTTTGTTTTCGTCAATACAATCAATAAAAAGCTGCCGTAGTAGTAATACTCGAATAGTATGCTTTCATTTGTTATTTCAATCCATTTTAATCTTTCCGTGATTTCATTGCACTTGGCATTGCCTCACTGTTCCTTGCACTGCTCTCCTTTGATAAAAAAGGTCACCATAAATCCAACAACTGGCTGGGCCTTTGAATCTGGCCGTGGTGCTCCATCCCGATCGAAATATACATCCCATAACCAAATACACATACTTAAGCTTACTGTTTCTTGGCCTTGGTTGCCAATACATTCATTGTACCCACCAAATAATGCTTAATTCTCCAAAATATTCTTATGGTTTACTAAAATCTTCAAGATCACGAAACACCATCTAATTTGATCTCTTTCAGACATATGATACGCAATAAATAGAAAAGCATCCTTAGAACATATAGAGCTAATCTAAGGAAACATAAAGAGGGATGAAAACTAGCTCTTTTCAAAAAACCTACTCATACCATGTGCCTGTTCGTTGTAATCTGCAACAACTTTGGATCTCTACTAGGTAGTATTTCCATGCTGTCGGATTTTGTTAGGACCACCTCAGCTCGAAGCTATTCTTCTGCAAGACAAATGGCTACGTGACAACATTGACGATGAAATTATTGCACTTTATTGATTCACTGGATATCTTGTGGGTCACACAGCATCACACCACAAGCGAGGCGGAGGAGTTCCATTGTATATCAACAACTGTTGGTGTAAACAGGTCAGAAACTCTTAAACCTATTATACAAGTTTCGTGAGGTTTTCCATACAAGAAAGCCAACCCAAGTTTTTGAATGATCTCCACGATAGACTACGTAGAATTCTTCGAATCAGTATCATAAATTTTGGTAAAACGTGCTGATATTTCATTGTGCGTAGTTGCTGGCAATTTTAACCATTTTGATGTGAGCTTTCTTTATTCCCGTAGTTTGACGAATACTGTTAATTTTCCAATTAGACTGGCTGCTTTTCTGAACCCTCTTTTGGTTAACGGCCCACTTTTTATATCCACTTCGATTCACTCTCCACTAGGCTTTTCTGACCGGGCAATAAACAAAAGTTCGCCTGTGATCTACAGTCATACGAACCACACAAAAGTCAGAGGAGGCCGAGATAGTCCAGTTCCGAAGAGGCAGATTTGTCCTGAAAAATTTCTAAAGCTACTGGAACTGGTTGCTCAGACAGAACTCTCTGCATCCTCAGACACGGACATTTCGGTTTTCTGTAACTATCCCACCGACTATTTGAATTTTTGCTTCAATATATTCTGCCTATGTGAAACTCTGTATTCGCGCTCTGATCGTCTGTCTTCTTCCCAACTTAAGCAGCTTCATCGGACGAAGGAAAACTCCTTCAAACATCATAATCTGCTAGCTTTCAAGATTCCAACTAAGTCAACCAAGACGTTGTTGCGTATAACTCTGTCTTCCTTAAAGATTTTGAAAGGTTGATTCTCCAACGATTAAACGAAGATTTAACTGTTTCCGATCCTGATCAGTTTGCTTGCCAACAATCACACTCTATCCTGAGGATGCTCTCGCCATCTTGACACATTACATTCTGTTCAAACTTGGCAAGAAGAGAAAAGCCGTAAAAATGTGCTTCCTAGATTACAGTGGTGCATTCAACTGCATCTACAGGAATACGCTGCATTCCTCTATATCCCTCTCTAATTGTGAGCCTTCCCTTTTACCTTTGTTCACAGATTACTTTCACAGTCACCAGCAGTTCACTCCGTATAACACGAAAAACTCTTCTCTTCTTACCACGAGCCATGGCCTTCTCCAACGGGTCATACTATCCCCATTTTTATCCTCTGCTTACATTCCTTCTATTCCTGTACGCTCAAAGCCTCTTCTAATCAGGTATACGAATGACGTCAGGTTTGGCAGGCCATATACTTGGGGTTCTACTTCTCCTACTCTCCAAAATGGCATCGCTCAAATTTCATATTGGTCTCGTGCTCACAGTCTAGGCTTTTACTCAGTCAATTACAGTGACATTCCACTTTCTCTTTTGAACGGTAGTAAGCAATCTAATCTTCAAAATGACTGCACTACCATCACAATAAATTAGGAACAGATGAGTCATCTTAATTCATTTAAGTGCCTTACAGTGATGCTCAACCGTAAACTACTCGGTCCACACATGTTGGTTCGATTTTTGTGAAAACTGGACGGTTGTCTTTCGGTGTTCCATGTCCTAAAGTCCACTCCGTACCTACCCATCTCACCAAACGCTTTGTCTTTTCATTTGTCCTACCTCACTGGCTTTCTGCGTCACATGTCACCTTTTCTGTCTTGTTGTTGCAAGAGGTAAAGTTTATGGCTAGATCGCTAAAGCTGTTATCATTTACCAGTGGCATACCCAGAATGCACTCACCTTGTTACAACCCATCATAGAAAAGCTTGCCAAAAGCTTGTCTACAAAGATTCTCACTGACCCTACTCATCCTTTTCACCAATACCCAGTGAAATATATATCCTCTTCTTCCACTGGCTCTCAATAGAAACGTGTTTGTGCACACACTGGGGCGTACAGCGATTCTACTATTCCATGCCTGGTAAGGTATTTGCGTAATCCAGCTTGTACAATATCAGAACTAACGCAACACTTGGAATAAAATAAACGGTTACTACCCATTTCCCCAGAGTCCCATTTTCTAGGACGTGTACGTGATTACGTGAAAGCTGAATAAATATATCTCGGAGTGCATAAAGCAATTACTTGACTTGACTTGAAGGTGTTCTCTCCCTTCCTTGTCCCAAGATGTTGATGTCGCGTTGGTTCCTTGATTGGCTTTGATCATCCCCTCTGGGTGCTAGTGTCAGCGTGATCATCAGTACGATGCACATGTCGTTCTTCTTGATCGCGCCGCACTTTGTCGACCGAATGGCAGGCTATCAAGACGGAATACTACCTTCTCAATTTAGGCTGAAGTATCCGTGATCCAAGGTCGCTACTTAGTCCATGAAGACGCTGCTTTTACTTTACCCCAGTACCTACTGACAATAATCCTCACTCACGTGTAATCTGCTTACGGTAAGCCTGGGTTCTGCTTTGTTTTTCTTATTGCTTTGTGGAGTTCCACAGGTCGCATCTAATAGGTTGATCACATGCTCAGTTCTGAAATGACAGTTAATCTCACTAGCATGCCAAACATCAGTCGAAATAGAGAGTACTTCGCTCTGGACAGCTTAGAAGTGAGGTAGGACGGCAACAGTAGCGTCAAGGCATGCTCTCAATCTTCTCGTTTTGTCTACTACCGTTTTTGATCGCTCGATTGTTCGCTCCAATAACGTCATTAGTTTGTGGGTGGTATGAGTTTGTGCTTATCCTCTAAGTTCCTCCAATAAGACCCGAAAAGCATCGCTTTCAAAACGTGGGCCTTGGCCGATGGTGGTCGATTTCAGAAATCCATGATTGACCACAGGTTCCTCCACTATGCACTGATTCTACCGACGCGTTAACCAGGAACGCCGATAGCTTCCGTAAATTAAGGTTACGTCTCCGTAGACCGCTACTTTAGTCATATTTAAGCATTAGCCGTCTTAAAGTAAATGGTTCCCCGGACAGTCTGAAAGGCGTCCGTTAGAAGTAGCATCACTAGTCTCCGACAGTGAAAGTTGTTTTACCTTGATCCTCTTTCTTCATTGAAACTTGCCAGTATCCTGAGCGCGGATAGATCACCAGAAATATGGTGACTGCTTGCGTTTTACCTAATGTTTTTGCCATAGAATGCACCTGGACAGGTTTGTATACAGTGATATCAATTGCACTGCGAAAATCGACACAAAATCCAAATTTTTGATTAGGTATCCTTACCACCACCACCAACTTTCCCCAGCCTGACCATATCCCCACCAGCTCCGGCACGTCCTCAAAGTCATCCAGGGTACGCCTTACACCCCCATCCTCGAATGGCTGAGACCAAAGGATCTTCATCCTGGTTGCGGCACAAAATTTTGTAATCCAAACGACATAACAAGTAATAGTTCGTTTGTTTGTTTCAGCTCACTCTGATCTATCTATAAGACTTCGTTGCGTTGTGTGTCGCTCCAGTAAACATATGTCGATCACTATTACCGGAAGTATATACTACTCACGAATAGCACGTGACATACTGCACTAAGGCAGTGAGATCAGTATTCTTAGTGCTATTGTTAACATTAGTATCAGTGGTAATATAAGTGATAATGGTATTGACATTAGTAGTGGTAGTAATTATAGTACGGCAGTCTCCTGGGCAAGAAGCAGTATTTGGTATTGCTCAAATTGTTTCTTGTTTGGAAGAGCTGCTAGAAGGAAGATAGTCAAAAGAAGTAGTCAGGAAAAGGACATCATTTCTCTCCTGCTTTTCTCACCAGAGCATTAATTTTTCATCTTACGAAGATTCTCAAAAGCAAACTTAACAAATAATATCAGCAAGTATCCGTCTTTCTCATCTTTTGTTATCAAAACATTACCATCCTGTCAATATAACAGAGCCTACGTCGTATGTGATTCACACAAGGGTTGAATAAAGTCTTAAAACATTTGTATGCTGTGGTTGGAAAATGCTGAATAAATAGCCTTGCCGAAGGTAAGTCATCTTTTAAATTGAACTGCATCATATTCACATACACGTTAAATGCTACAGAGCACTGAACTAGTTCCTTTTTAAGATGAGTATACCTGCCGACTCTGGGAACATCAATCTTCCCTCATGAATTTATACCAGTCTTGGAATTTTTGTTTGATTCTGTCTTCCTGCGGTAGAAATCGCCATACATGACAATAACTGCCACGGGTTAGTCCCGTATTCTTCCGTTTTCTTTCTTAAAATCCACTCAGCTGAATCACTTTTCTCCTTTGACTGGAGGGTAAAAGTTCCCGCATGGTGGGTCAATGCTGCAAGTGTGGCTGCACAAATCCGGCAGAATGGATGTTACTCAACTGTGTCGACTTGACAGCTCTAAAGCCAGGTGGATAGGATTTTTGAGAGAAACGCGTGATCTCACGATGTGCGATCTCAGCATTCATTAGAAATTGGTACGAAAAGGGTCTACTTGTATTATGATTGGTAGTCACTTCATCAATGTTGATGAGGATAAACGTCTAGCTGAGCAACCTTGACATACAAAAGATATCAACATCTTAGCGTGAGATGGAAGCCTTCCCGCCTCTAATCAACCAAAGTTTATATAATTATTGGTCTAGATGGTTAGAAATCACAAAACTCAGTGGTCTAGTGATTCTAACTGATGCAATATCCCTCGCTAAAGGTGCTATAACCAATTTTGTTAGGAAATATTCCTAAATAAATAAAGCCGCTCTATATTACCTATTACGAGTTGAAATTCCAGTGACATTATTTCTTGCTTCTTTCTCGGGATTTACTGCCTGGTGAAAGATTTGTATGGGGAAAATTTTCTTGCACAGCAAAAGCGATTCATTTGGGAAGGTTATTGCAATCAGAGAGGCTGCTATCTGGTGAACTACGGAAGTAGTATGCGCATTTGCACTTGTGTTGGTTTCTGTATCCGTATTCGTATTCGTAATAATAATAATAATAGTAATATTATTAATAATAATAATAACAACTGTGAACGACAGCAAGAGAATGTCATCAGCGATAACATCAATAATGGAACTGGTCAACGATCAAGTGGACTTTATTCCGTTCTTCTAATAATAACTTACCCTGCTGATAAAAAAACCACAATTTGATGTACTTATAAAGATTGTCAATAAATGGGTATAAATAAATAAATAACATCTGACGAGAAAAACAGTCAGAAAGATTGATGGGTGACTAGAGAGGACAATGGATAGCAGGAATAATCTATAACATAAACGTATGTAGAAATAATAAACGGATAGAGGTGAGCATTTTACCTTTGGACTAGACAACTTAGATTTCTGAGGCAGATGCTTAGGAGATTCGCATTACTTCATGTCTATTTCTTCAGACGCTTTTTGTGATAAGACGGTGCTCAGCGTGTGCCCGTATCCATTTATCACTGAAATTATCAAATACCATCGATTACATTTTGCTTGTGTTACTGTTCGTTAATTTTATAGATCTTCATTTCTCGAAAAACAGTATTTATATGTGTCTTTAGTAAAACTTACTGGGCTTAGCGTCATTTCAGCTACCCCCTGCGAAACTGCTTTAACAAATTTAGTGGCATTTTAATGACAGATGTTATTTTGTTTTCATCGAAAAGATTGAGAACCTGCCGTCTTTCCGATATGCTAAGAGTGCTTCTTGTGTTTCGGACGATCGTTTCCTGGTGCCAAGCCTTGTTTGCTAACCACGGAAAACCAATGGAGAACAGTCAGATATGTGTTTTATGGTGAGTTACCAAAAAAGTTGAATAAAATTGTGAACGGGTTTTCAGATTTCCCAAATATTTGTGCTTTCGAATTTTGTGCAGTCAAGAAATTACCGGAACATTTGTTTGGGATATTCTACGGGGAAAAACATCTTTGATATAATTAGTAATTAAGAGACACAGTAAAGTTACATGCTCTGACTAAAATCATTCGTGCAAGAGAGTCACAAGAACATTGAAATAAATGATAGATATTTGGTTTCATTTTTTACAATTTTGTTAAATATGAGTGTGCTGGGAATTAGTTGTACTGGGAAGATGAACCAACGAATCCCCGAATCAGAAATTCCACCGATCGGATAGTAGTAGTACGTCCGGAGCACGGAATTCGGTCAAGAAGAAGCGGGAGTCCCGGCGGTAGTCAGCAAAACTTGTGCGTCAACAAACACAAGAAAATGAACAAAGTAAACGTGACAGAAATTATGAATCGAAAGTTAATGCTTCCAAGTTGTATACACACGGGTGTCATTGTGTCACAGAACACGAAGTACTGCCAGTCAGCATAATTAGTTAAAATGTGTGAGAAATGTGAGCAGTGGAAAACGCAACTGGATCAGTGCAAACAGGTGAGAAAAAATCACCCGAACAGATGGTTCCAGTATGGGAGGAAAGGCGGAAAAATGTATCACAACTACGGACCACTTATTGAAAACAAAAATCCACTCGTTTTCGAAGAAGTCTGAAAAGAGTTTCGTCAGAAAGTATTATTCTTTATGATAAGAATAATTGTCAGTGAAAGTACACGGAGTCTTTTGAGTCCTTCAAGTTCCATTCTAAGTTCCTTGGTCTGCCTGTGCACTGATCTCTGCTTGCCCCTGCTACCACACTAGCCAGACTAACGTCAAATAACGGTGGGGCAGATGAAAGCCAGTTTGGCCTAAAAGGACAAAGTGGCTAAATAAGAGCACAAAAGGAACACAATATGATTCATCACACAGTAAAATCGTTCAACTCACCACTGGAAATCATGGAAGCTCTGCACAGCTATTTCATCCGTGTCAGGAATCATCTTAAGTGCACATCCGCCGAGAGGGTTATTCATAACGGAACACCTTCGTTTTACCCATGTTCCTACACAGATGTCATCCATCACGGAAGTCGATAGCTGCATAGGTAACGGGGCGTTACCGTTTGTAGCCAGTGATAGCAAGATACTGTATTAGAGCCAGCCTGGATATCTTGGTGGTTAGGTGTTAGACTCACAATCGTTCACGAAGAGTTACAGCCCCAGTGGCGGACTCGGGCGACGTGCACAGCTGGAACAGCCATGCAATGCTTTCATAGTTTTCATGTTGAGTTGGGCTTTGATACTGCATGACGAATCATTTGGAAAAAGGGGACAATCTCGAAATCGTGCATCCAATCAGATTCGAATACCCTGTAGGGTCGATTAGTCTGCCAACGTGCCTGATCGGTTGACCGTTGATCTAATTGAAACGGACGATTTGCCGAATTTTTGTTCGTATGAAAAAGTTAGGCCTCACATTACGTGATGGCTTATTGATGAATTAATGACCTACTCCGCTTAGCTCGTTCAAAAGTGACTAGTCACTTAGCCACAGGATAGAGACTCAAATATTATTCATTCAACATACTATATCATTTTTGCTCAAAAAGAAACAAGCCAAAAACAAACTTCTGTGCTAATTTGTCGATTTTACTGCCACGAGTAAAAGTTCATTACTGAGGGCTATTTACATGGGTGAGTTCGCGGCCCTCGAACCCAGTGTGACGCAAAAGGTTACCCCTTGTAATAAACAAGAAATGGATAACCCCCAAAACCCATGTTCTTTGTTTTGCTACAGCCTTCCCAACCACCGTCCAACAACAATCGTCCTCGAATCCTTTTCTAACTATGCAACACCAATTTTTTGACTACCCAGTCACATCTTGACACGAAATCATCAATAAATGGTTCATTTCTCCTTTATGAATGTACGGTGCTCCAATGGTTTTCACTGGTGAGTTGAGTGTAGATGCCGTATGATGAATCATATTATCTCAAATGCAGGCCTATTAGCCATGAGGACGATGCTACCGAAAACGGGTTCGTTCAATATTCATGTACTCTCCATGTGATGTAGTCGATTTGTTACCTAGTCGAATTTTCTCAAAGCCGGTGATGAACCCAGTCAGCTAGTGAAAAACCTTTAAGGCTCATCTGGACAGCGTTACCTTAAAATAAGTAAAACCTACTAGGTTTCAGTGCGTGCACCGGACAGGGTTTGCGCTGCGGGCATGTGTTTTCAGTAGTTCGCTTCTGTTGTAGGCAGAACGTTGTCTCCAGTGTCATCTTGGGTTTTGACCAAATCAATAGGCAGGTAAATCAGATCGACAGACATTCATTCACGACATATT